CCGATACCGATAGGGGGCCGATTATATCGTGCATCACTAATCTGAACAATAAAAAAAGAATAAAGCTTTTTGTCGTTATATATATTTTATTTTTATATCCTTGTTATTCTTTGCTGTGTGTTTTAGGAGTCTGTCTCAGATCTCAGCAGTGTGTGCCTACACTGTCTCTGCTATTCGAGACATTTTCAATGTGGGAAAATTCAAGACATCTGTTGCCGTGGAGACGTCCCATGTGAAATGGGTGATGTACACCGGAGAGGTGCCGGTCCCCAGACCAGGAGCGGTAGGTCTATAAAGTTTCCCCCTCTCTGAACTGGAAATGGGAAAATCACACAGGCCGATTTTTCTAAGAGGAATGAAAAAAGTCGAACCGAGTTTTATTTGTTTATATTTTTAGTGCATCAACAATGTGGCTCGGAAAATGGGGATGAATCGCTCTTTGGACCTCCCAGATAAAACCCTCCAGTTCATCAGAGACCGGCCCTTGATGGACGAGGCTGTTCATCCGCTGACCGGGGGGCCGCTGCTGCTCAAGAAAGGATCCTTACTGACTCGGATCGTGGTGGACAGCGTGCTGGCTCTGGACGGGGAGACCTATAACGTCATGTTTATTGGAACAGGTAGAACAGCTATTCACTGCTATTTGCAGGAGTGTTTATCTGCTCTGGACAATTGTTACCATAATAGAAGCCTCAAAGTGTTTAATTGGGATTTTTTCTTATGTTTTATCATAGAGCAGTGCATTATTGTAAAGCAGAAGAACACAGATACATAGGTTTAAAGGCAGGTGAGCTCATTTCAGGAGAAAAATCATAAAAAGAGCAATTACCAGATATGCCAGGATTGATGTAATAAAACCCCAAAACATTAGGTTTATTACCACCATGTTTTCATGATCCTGAACACATGGTGGTGGCAGCATCATGCTGTGGGGATGCTTGTCTAAGCCTTTGGACAATGCAGATGAGAGGGTGGATGGAGATAATTAAAAGGAAAGCTGTTGGGAGGGACTACTCTATTCAGGATGATTGAAATGTGTATAAATTATTACCTCAAGAAAAAAGAGATTCACAGAAAAAAAACAATGAACTGAATAAGGGAAGAAAAGC